TTTTTTTTTTTTTTTTTTTTTTTTTTTTTTTTTGATAATCAACGTACAGAAGAAAGATAAATTATCATACACATTGTTCAGGTGGCAAGAAACTGGTAAATGCGAATTAAACCTACCACCAGCAGCAGCATTACCGTTGAAAGTTTTTTTGAACGAACTTTATGAAGATGCAAAAAATTTTAGTCAAATTCTTCAATGGGATAATTCATCATTTACAGCATTATTTGTTCTTCAAGCATTGCAAAAAAATGGTATTTAAAATGATGATTTTTTTTTTTTAGTTTTCCTTCTTGTTTTCCTTTTTTTTTTTTCCCCTCTCTACTAAATAAAACCAATTTCACTATTAAACCACTAATACAGTATCGGCGTTTGTTGTTGATGTTCATGAACTGCTCTGTTACAGTACACCAAAATTTTGTGTTCTATTTAACTGTCGTACGTTTTCAAATGGTTCACTGCACAATAAATCTGTAATAATAAGCAAAAAAAAAAAAAAAAACATTAATTAATTTCATCTCTCTTCTACACTTAAAAAATTGCTTTTTATAATTTATTGCTTATAATTTTTTCAGATGCTACTGGAAAACCGGCATCTTATGATGTATTTACTGAACGACTGTCTGGTACAGTAACAAATGCATTGAAAGATTTTTGTGGCGGTTCATCATCACCGCGAAAATTGCAAACCGTTATTGCTCAGGTACATTTCTAAACAGCAACTTATTTGTCTTATTTTTTTAAAATTTTACTTGAAAAAAAAACACCTAAACAAGTTTTGTTCTTATTTTTTTTGATTCTTGTTTTTTGAAGCAAAAAAAGAAAAAAAACAAGGAACTACTTAATCAATTTTACAGCTTCAACAATTTGAAAAATATCGAGGTATTGGTTGTACACTGTTGACATCATGTGAAGCTGCTGGAATACGTTTACCCAACAATTTACAATTGATTCTTAAAGGACCAACAGTTATTGTTGGTGGTGGTGGTGGTGGTGTTGTACAACATTTAACATCCTCACAACAACAGCAGCAACAGCAACAGCAACAGCAACAGCAACAACCACAGCAATCACGTGGTTTAACACCGTCAACGTCGTCGGGTTTACAGTTACCAGCAGAAATACAACGATTGGTAAAACCAATAAATCCAAAAACTGGTGAATCGCCATTTAATTTTGATGCATATTTTCAATAAACTAAAAAATCAGTGAGA